CATATCAGATATTTACATGACGATTCATAACAGTAGCAACATCACAGTTATGAAGTAGCGACGAAAATAATGTTATGGGTGGGGGTCACCACCACATGAGGAACTGGATTCAAGGGTCCCGGCCCTAGGAAGGTGGAGAGCCACTGGGCTAGGGCATCAAGATATCTCAGTCTCTGCATCTTGCCCGAGGCTTGAGTCACTACCCACCCTGTGCCGGGCTCACACTCCGTACCACGGAGCTTACGGGCATCATGAGATAGCTGGGTTACACCTCTGACTTTGGAGGTCGCTTGTTAGACAGCGGTTGGAAGTGGACCGACTCAAGGGAGCACGGGATACAGAGGGAGGGAAGGACGCTGCACAGTGGTATTGGTGGAACTCAAGGGGTGGGAGGTTACAGGAAACAAGGAAGCGGAATGAGAAATGATGGTGGGAGTAGTTGGGCAGATGGAGATGCTAATGCATTACGTGGGGAAGGTTGGAGTGTTTAGGGAGTGGGTATCAAAGCTCTCTTTTGATGATGTTGTCCCATGGTATTTTCCTCCTCCTCCTCTCTCAACCCCAAATGCAGTCAGCACCAAGCTCCGATCAGTCTAAGCCCTACAGTTCTTTCCAATGTGTGCTTTCTTTTCTAAATGCATCTTCGCTGTCTCCGACCAAAGACCTGCTTAGGTTATAAATGTTGGAGGCACTCATGCCTGGGTGTTGGGCAGGTGCTAGGGATATAGCCATGGATCAATAAATCCACTGTTTTCTTGAGAAATTCTGGGGCTAATTTATTAACCCAGTAGCTGTTGATGGTCACCCAGACAGTTCTGACTCATGGTAACTTGTGTCACACAGCAGAGCTGGTATTTTCTGGGTTGCTGCCTTTATTAGATTCGCAGTGGAGTACCCACTGTAGGACTCACTATATACCTGGTATGATCATTAAAAAACTTTAACATATTAACTCATGTACTCCTATAATGCTATGAGGTAGGTGCTATTCTTCTCATTAATATTATTTTTATTTTTATTATAAGGCATGTGACTAATGTAGAGACTAAGTAAAGTCACCCTCCCACAGCCGGTACATACCAGAGCCCAGAGAACATTGGTTCTATATTACGTATGCTGCCATCTAATGGGACAGAGAGATTTAGGCCAATGAGAGCTTGGGATGTGAGAGAGCAGGATCCAGGTGGTATAGTGGGTTATGTCTTGGGCTGCTAACTGCAAGGTCACCAGTTCAAAACCACTAGCCACTTCCCAGAAGAAAGATGAGGCTTCCTGGTCATGTAAAGATTTACAGTCTCAGAAACCCACAGGGGCAGTTCTACTCTGCTGATAGGGTCACTCTGAGGCAGAATTTACTTGCTGGCAGTGATTTATTATTATTATTATTGTTATCAATGGCTGGTTCAAGGTCATTGGAGACTAGAATATTAGAAGGAGGGCTGTGGAGGGGAAGCGTTGTGGGAAGAGGGTCAGAAGGTAGTCAGATGGCACACCTAGAGCATACTAATAAGTTTGGTCTTCGTCATAAAGGGAGACAGGGGTACCATGTGATCAGATTTAAGTCTCAAAGAGTTCATGAGTGGGGCTAGAGATGAGGGGCAAAATAGAGAAAGAGAGACCCAGCCTGAAGCAGGGTGTAGACAGATGGCAAAGAGAGACAAGGAGAAATTTAAGGGCTACTTTGACGGCAGAATAGACAGGATAGGAGAGGCCCCAGGACCAGGGTTCTGGAAAACAGAATGGCTGGCGAGGACAACATGGGGATGGGTCAGAGGGAAGGGCATATTTGAGGGAGATGGATTGGTACTGGTTGTGCTATGTGATGTGGCTGGAGCTCGCTGAAGAGGACATAGTTGAGGTCAGAGGAATATGTGTGCCTGGAGCTGCAGAGTTCAGGTTTGGGCTGTCAAGAGTGGATGCACAGCGGTACAGATGGGAACTGGAAACACAGGGAATCCAGGACAGATGAACCCCTCAGGACCAGTGGTGAGAGTGGCGATACCGGGAGAGAAGGGGGGCCCGGGGGTTAGAAAGGGGAACCAATCACAAGGATCTACATATAACCTCCTCCCTGGGGGATGGGCAACAGAAAAGTGGGTGAAGGGAGACGCCGCCGGCAGTGTAAGATAAGATAAAATAATAATTTATAAATTATCAAGGGTTCATGAGGGAGTGGGGAAGAGGGAGGGAGGGGGAGGGGAAAAAAGAAAATGAGGAGCTGATTTCAGGAACACAAGCAGAAAGCGAGTTTTGAGAATGATGAGGGCAATGAACGCATAAGTGTGCTTTACACAATTGATGTATGTATGGATTGTGACAAGAGTTGTATGAGCCCCAATAAAATGATTTAAAAAAAAAAAAAAAAAAAAAAAGAGTGGATGCTCCAAAGTAGACAGTCATCCAGACCATAATGTGGACGCGATGTTTTGGAGGCTGAGAAGGACACGTGGGGAGAAGGACACGTGGGGAGGGCTCCGCACAGAGTTTCAGAAGCTCTGCATGAATTAAGGAAGGACCCAAGGGTGACTAGTCTGACCAGAAGGCAAGAAGGACAAAGGAGTCATCAGGGTCGAACGTCACAAAGAAGGGAAGAGAGGCAAAGACTCATCACTCTGGCTTCCAAAGGTCTTTGCAGTCTGGCTCCCAATGAACCTTCTACTCACTAACTTTTCCAAACCCCCATACCCATATCCCAAGAAATTAGGGAGCTGTCATTAGCATTTATAAAAAGGAAGTCGGCCCGAAGGCAAGGAAGGGCTTGCACAAAGGCTTCAATTGGTGTGCGCACCCAATTGTATACGTTGTGTTGTCATTGTTAGGTGCCATCGCGTCGGTTCTGATCCATAGTGACTCTAAGCACAAGAGACCCAAAACTGCACAGTCCTGTGCTGCCCATGCAATTGTTCCTATGCCTGAGCCCACTGTTGCAGCCAATGAGATGCAGCCGTCTCATTGAGGGTCTTCCTTTCCCTCGCTGCCCCTCCACTGTACCAAGCATGATGTCTTCTCAAGGGACTAGCCTCTCCTGACAACATGTCTAAAGTATGTAAGACAAAGTCTTGCCACCCTGGCCTCTAAGGAGCACTCTGGCCGTACTTCTTCCTAGACAGATTGGTTTGTCCTTTCGGCAGTCCATGGTACATTTTTTTTTAAGTCCATGGTACTTTCAATATTCTTCTCCAGCGCCACAATTCAAATGCATCCATTCTTCTACAGCCTTCCTTATTCAATGCCCAACTTTCCAATGTATATGAGGCTATGGAAAACACCATGGCTTGGGTCAGGGGCACCTTAGTCCTTAAAGTAACACCCTTGCTTTTCAGTGCTCTAAAGAGATCTTGTGCAGCAGACTTACCTAACACAATGTGTCATTTGATCTCCTGGCTGCTGCTTCCATGAGCATTGATTGTGCATCCAAGCAAGGCAAATTCCTTGACAACGTCAACCTTTTCTCCATTTATCATCATGTTACTGGTCCAGGTATGAGGACTCCGGTCTTCTTTACACTGAGTTGTAATTCATACTGAAGGCTACAATCCTTGATCTTCATCAGCAAGTGTTTCAATCCCTCCTCACTCTCAGTAAGCAAGGTTGTGACACCTGCA